ACATGACTAGTTTGTAAATTTCTTTCTATCCTGTTTTATTTTTATCCAATAATAAATCAACATCCTTTATTTCTTTAATATTTTATCATTTTCAGTGTGTTTGTATATAACATTATAGGGCTTGGCGCTTAATTATCACGTTCAGGTTAAATTAAATATATAATAAAATAATATTATACTTATTTCAATGATACTGATAATTATTTTATGTATTATAGTCAGGGTTTATCAACAGCCCTCCACTCTTCTGTTTGATACCTTTAAAATTCCTTCCGTCGAGGGCATTCAGCAGGGAGACCCCCTAGGTTCCCTATTCTTTTGTTTAGGTATTAATGACATCATTAAATCCATTAATTCGGTCTGCTCATTATCCTTGCATTCCTGGTACATTGATGATGGTATCCTTGGAGGTTCCAATGTTGAAGTCAATAAAGCTGTGAACATCATCAAGGAGGCCGGATCAGCTATAGGACTCTCCATTAATCCAGAGAAATCAGAATTTATCCCTATCAATACAATCGAACCTAATACTAACAAATTCAAACTAACGACTCTTGACGGTCTCTATCATCTGGGAGCCCCTGTTGGTGGTAACTCTGCTATTTCTTTCTTTCTTCAGTCCACTTTGTATACTTTATTAGAGCTGGCAGATTTATTTTCCCTTCTTCCTTCTCATAAAGCCTTTTTCCTGGTGAAAATTTTTTTCAATATTCCCCGTATTCTTTACGCACTTCGCTCAACTGCCATATTTAAATTCCCCATTCCACTTGGAGTTTATGATAATGGGATCAAAATCCTTATCGAAAACATTCTAAATCTTAAATTCGATGAAATTGCTTGGACACAAGCTTCTTTACCCACAAAGATGGGAGGTCTGGGCCTCAGATCTCCATCCCATCTCGCCTTAACGGCCTTTATATCCAGTTGCCTACTAACTAAAAACATAATAAATCCCAATTCTTTAAAACCCGACTCTTCTTTTAATGATGCAATCATCGAATGGAGGACACGAATTTCTGCTGATCACCCTCTTCTTGAATCTAATAAGCAGAAGGACTGGGATAGGCCTATTATTGCACTCTGCGTTGAATCACTCCTTTCCAGAATGCAATTATCAGACCGTCCCTTAATCTCTTCTTTGCTTAATGGTTCAGGCCATGAGTTTCTCGAGGCCATTCCGTCTATTAATCTGCAATTACAACTAAATAAAAACGAGCTCACACATGCAATCGGTATCCGTTTAAATTGCCTTATTACCCAACCCCACATATGTTCAGGTTGCGGCTCCGCAGTTTTGGGCAATGGAAGACATAGTCTTCATTGTCGCTCATGTAAAGGTCGAATTGTAAGACATAATCTATGCAATTCGATCATTCTTAGAGCTCTTAGATCTGCTCAAATCCCCTCCACTCTTGAACCATCCGGTCTTTTCAGATCTGATGGGAAACGGCCTGACGGTATTTCGCAAATTCCTTGGAAGCGCGGTCAATTCCTGGTCTGGGACTATTCTTGTATTGATCCACTCGCTCCATCAAATCAAACAGTCAATATACTCGAGAAAAAGGAGACACTCAAAATAGCGAAATATTCCGAAATCTCTCAAGAATATATTTTCATCCCTATTATTTCCACTACTCTTACTACTTTTGGGAAATATGCCTTATCCTTTTTCAAGGAACTCGGCTCCCACATTCGTCAACTAACCGGTGAACCCCGCGTGGGCTTCTTCTTAAGGCAAAGGCTCTCCATCTCAATACACAAGGCTAATTATATTAGCTTCATAAGCAGTCTCTCCCCACAAGATTATCCTTCCTAACCTCAATATATTTTTTTTTGTTATTTTTTTAACACCGTCACAAACATATCCTCCAATATTATATTTATTTATTTTTTTAAAATGTTTTTTTTATATGTATATAAATATATATATAAATATTAATTATATTGTATTATATAAATAATTAGCTAAATAAACTTAGAAATTAGTTCAATAAAAAAAAATAAATTTATTACATCTATTGTGGGATGAAATTATAATAATATTTTTAATAAATAGATGGCGTTAAATAGTTGTATGCATATTGTTACTTATATTTATTATCAAAAGCATTGATTAAATGTTACATTCCTTATTTGAATTGTAATCTATTTGTCGAAGGCTTGTGGAGAGACTTTAATAAACTTAATAGAACCTGTTATTAATAAAAAAGAATATATAAAAAAATATATAATTTTGTTAGTAAATCTTACAACTCCTGTTTTTTACTAAACCAAATTTTATATCTTGAATTTTGCACAACAACACTAAGTTTCTTTTTAAAATTATAAATCCAGACTACTCACTTTTAATTAAAATTTTTTCATTTATATACATTTTTTTAATATTCAAAAAAAATTACAAGTACATTAAATCAATACATAAAAAATAATAAAAATTACAAGTATTCATAAAAAATAATAAAAATTACAAGTATATTAAAGTTCATAAAAAAAAAATTCCTAGACTGCATATTTAAATTATTAATTAACAATCGTCGATAACATATTCACAAACTAACTAATTATATAAAAAATATAATTTAAATTCAAATGATTTACGCGAATATAACAATTAGTAAAATTTTAAAAATATTAACTAATATATTATATAACTGTCAAATACGTCTGCAAAAGTGCCATTTTACTTAATATAAACTATGTCTACTTATTTTTTATAAATAAATCTCTTATATTTATTTGGATTTGGACCTTGAAAATAATTTTAGAAAGAGACATGATAATTAAATTTAAAAATCAATAATATAGTTGATTAGTGATGTTAAACTCGGCAAAATACAATTAAATTTGTTAATTTTCAATTAATAAATGATTATATTAATTTAATTAGGGTTATATAATAATTTAAGTAATAAAAGTTCATTAAGATTCAACTGTTAATGCTAAATTAATATTTAGTGAGTGATATTGAAATATTTTTCAGAATTTGATCGCAAGCCGACATAGTGAAAATATAATTTATATGTATTAATCTAATCTAATATTTAAAATAGTATTCATTTAATAAAAATTTATGTAGTCTTATTAATTTTTAAATAATAAAATTAAATCTATATATTAGTCAATAGAATTATAAAAGATATTGTTCAGGGAGCAATTAAAACAATTTATTTTAGTTCAAGGAGATATTAAGAAATCATTAAAAAAAATTTTGATTCAGGGGGCTATTCAAATTTTTCAGAGGGCTCGAGCCCCTGCACTTCCCTCCCCCCTAGCGATGCCATTGGCCTCCACCTCGCATTAGTTTACCATTTCACATTACACATACCCACAAACATAAAAATAATATCAACTTTGTAACATTTGAGCAAATTAATCAAAGTGAATAAAGGCCGATATTTTATACAAGCATTGTTACAAAGGGATAGATAACATGCCTACCTCGCAAAAACCTCCAACTAATAAAATTATAACAATATTTAAACCTTGAAAGATTTTTTGAATGGAAAAAGGGACTCACCATGACAATCTACCCAATAAATCTAGAAACCTAATTTAAAATTTTATTACAAAACTTTTCACAAAATCTAATGACAACTTAAATTACTTAAATATGTTAGTCAATAATGTATATTAATATTATAAATTTAATGTTTTTATATAAAATAAAATGACGAATATCTAAATTAGTTTAAATTATTAATTTTGTTCCAACATTACTGCAAAAGAAACCAAAAATTAAAATGATAGATCCATCAAAATGCAACGGAGAAACAGGAGAGCAAAACATTATGATATTATAACAATGGCTACCTCCTTTGAACCCAAAATCTGTCCTGGCTGAAACTTATACATTTAACAAATGAAGGTGTATTTTATTTTCATGAACAATTATAAATAGGAGTCCTCATTCAAGACTTACACCCAGTGGCGTAGCTACGGGGGGGGGGGGGTTTCGGGTTTGGACCCCCCCCCCCAGAGCAATTAATTTTTTTTTTTTAGAATATTCGTTTAAAAGACTCAAAAGTGACTTTATATCAAATAAATACCATGAATATTTATATTTTTCTGGTTTTGATGTTTGTGGAAGGATATTATTACTTTTAATTTTAAATATATATATAAATTATTCTGTATATTATTTTAAAGTCATTGATAATAATCTATTAATTTTAATAATATATTATTGATGCATTTTTAAAAAAATATTTATTATAAATTATCCAAGATATGGTTCGATAATAATAATATGAAATAAAAAAGTGCATAATCTACCCCCCCCCCCCTCAGAGCAATTTTTTTTAGATTATTCGTTCAAAAGACTCAAGGGTGACTTTATATCAAATAAATACCATGAATATTTATATTTTTCTGGTTTTGATGTTTGTGGAAGGATATTATTACTTATATATATATATAAATTATTCTGTATATTATTTTAAAGTCATTGATAATAATCTAATAAATTATAATAATATATTATTTATGCATATTTAAAAAAATATTTATTATAAATTATCCAAGATATGGTTCGAAAATAATAATATGAAATAAAAAAGTGCATAATCTACCCCCCCCCCCTCAGAGCAATTTTTTTAGATTATTCGTTCAAAAGACTCAAAAGTGACTTTATATCAAATAAATACCATTAATATTTATATTTTTCTGGTTTTGATGTTTGTAGAAGGATATTATTACTTATATATATATATAAATTATTCTGTATATTATTTTAAAGTCATTGATAATAATCTAATAAAATATAATAATATATTATTTATGCATATTTAAAAAAATATTTATTATAATTTATCGAAGATATGGTTCGAAAATAATATTATGAAAATAGTGCATAATCTACTTTCTCTGCTTTTATTTCTAATAATATATATTTGGTTTATATTTTGTAGCATTTTTATAAATGAAATTATTAAAGAGATTAAATTTATGACTAAAAAGTAAAGATTGTTATTTCCTATTTACGAACTTTAAGATTGAAGGAAATGGACATTAGAAAATATTTACTAAGTAACAAAAAAAATTTACCAGCTAATATCTCATGCAATTTATGCCCTGTTGAAAATGATAAGCATGATATAAATACACGAGGTTAAAAAATATTTAATCCAGTGTACTAATTAATATCTTATGCATTATAGGCTCTATTGAAAATAATAAGGATGATGTAAATACACCAGGTCAAAACAACATTTAATATAAAAGATATTTAAAATTAATAGCTAACTATTTTTATTTTAGAATTTAAAATTAAACACCTAGTCATAGTTTTAACTAAATTAAAATTGCCAGTACAAATCACTTTGGGTAATTTATTATTTTAAATAATTTTGGCTAACCAAAATATTTTGACATTTATAAGATATACCCAAACGTAGGAGGGAAGAAAATGATCTTGATACACTCATTTATATACCCAAAGACCATATAAAATCACTACCTAGTACAAGTAATATAATCTATTAAGATTTAAATATTTTTTATTATAGATTTAGATATATCAAGTATTACATTTAATAAAATTGATGATAGTCAACAAAATGAACATACCAAATCACTAATTAATATAGAAAATCAAAATTTTAATGATGAACTTGATATCATAAGCAATAATTTACCACCCACATCAGGTATTTTATAATGACCTTATTTAAATGAATCACTAATTAATATAGAAAATCAAAATTTTAATGATGAACTTGATACCATAAGCAACAATTTACCACCCACATCAGGTATTTTATAATGACCTTATTTAAATGAATCACCAATTAATATAGAAAATCAGAATTTTAATGATGAACTTGATACCATAAGCAACAATTTACCACTCACCTCAGGTATTTTATGAACTTATATGACCTTATTTAAATGTATTCATTTAAATTTTAGAAATACCTAGATACTCTATAAAAAATTATGATAAAAATAAGCTAAATACACTTGATCACTTCAAATCTCTACCTAGTAAAAGTAATGTTAACTATTACCTTTAAATATTTATATCATAATTTTTATCAAGTATCACATTGAAGAAGAATGATAGTAGTCAACAAAATATTATAGGCTGTATCAATTTAGAATTTAAAGGTTATCTAATATGTTGTTTTATTTTAATTTATTTTTATAGGAATATCTCAATTAATATTCACACCAAGGGGTAAAAAAAATAGTGATAACAAACAAAAAAATACACTAAGTCACAACAAATCACTATCTAATAAATGTAATGTAATCAATTACTTATTAATATTTACATTAAAATTTTAGATATATAAAAAATCTAGGGAGAATTTAAATGGAAATGAAGTTCCACTCATGTCAGGTATTAGTCTTATTTAAATTATATTTATTTAAAATCTTAGCAATTCCCACATACTCCAGAAAACTAAAGGATAATAGACAACCAATTATACTAGATCATTTAGAACCATCACCTACTACAAGTGATATAGTCTATTACTTTATACTTATAATAATCAAAAGTTGGTTCCAAAGCTAACATGTCATCTATGATTATTAGCCTAGGTTTCTCAATATTAATTTTAAACATCTATCATATATTGGTAAAAAAATATTGCCAACACAATTTTGATTTTTTCACTTTGAAGGATATCGACTTAAATTTAGTTTAAAAAAACATTTATTTTTTAATCTATAGTTTTAATGTGTTTACTAATTATAAAATATATCATTTATAATTAAGGCAATATAATATTTATAATTAAAGCAATTTATATGTGTAATACTAATATTTATAATTAAGGCAATATAATATTTATAATTAAAGCAATATAATATTTATAATTAAAGCAATATAATATTTATAATTAAAGCAATATAATATTTATAATTAAATCAATATAATATTTATATTTAAATAATCGCTTTTTATTTGTAAATAACTTCTAAAAGTATAATAAAATGAAACGTATATCAATAAAATTGTGTCAATGTGTTATTTTAATTAAAATTAGTGGCTCAATTTTAGCCGATATGGCTAACTCAATATATTAGCCAAAAAATTTTGCTCATGGAGATACAAGTTTTATATTATTCGAGAAATCTCAAGGCTTGAACAATATTTTTTGGCAAAAATATTGAGTTAGCTGTTTATAAAAATCAGCTCAAGTCGAGCCGTTTAACAACACTAATTAAAATAATTAATAATTCTAGGACTTTTATATTATAAGAAAAACCAATATGATTTTTAAGATAAACCCGGCCGAAGGCCGGGCAAAAGGGCCGAAGGCCCGTAAAGGGGGGCCTGGGGGGCGAAGCCCCCCAGGCTTTTATATATGGACCCCCTCTAAGGAAAATTCCTAGCTACGCCACTGCTTACACCTTTCTACCATATTGTTATACTCGATCCAGGCCATTCACAGAGCCTCTTTCAAACCTCGCTTTCAATACTTTTTTCAGATAATTTTCTCAATACCACAAAACCAAATATAATATTTAAAATACCCCAAGAAGCGAGAATACAAGCTACCGATCTCTCAGTGACTACCCTCTCTCCTGTAAAATTTTAACAAAGTAGAAGAATGTTAAAATTCTTTTACTTCGGTTACAACACTTTTAAAATACCTGATAAATCAGTTCAGAAATCTGTAACCCAACAAATAAAGGACGCCAGTTTCAACATCTATACCCTTCTTTACGATCCCCAAATCTATGCACATCCAAAAAGCAAAAAAAGTAACCCCACTTTAGCAAAAAACTTTATTGATCTCGAAGAAAATCGACTGTTTTAACATTAAAGGTGCTCACAAATTTATTTCCACCAATGATACTTGATTTCTATGAAGAAATTTTAAGTCAACCGTATGCGAATTGTGACAGATTTCACACAGGAAGAGGAGAAAGCAATCCTATCTTTTCATCGCGACTCAGCGCATGGACTTGATTAGCCTTTGATTTGTACACATGTTTCAATTCTCACTAAAATTAACAACTTATGCAATAAAATCTTAAATGCAGATGAGCCCAGTCTTATAACCATCTTACTCTTCGGAGCCAGACTCATCACAGTGCAAAAACCCAACAATGACATTCGGCCCATCGCCATTAGTTCAACAAATCACAGATTAGCAAAATTAATTTCTTCTAGAATCTAACACGAAGCCTCACACATCCTCAGCCCATACCAATTGGGTGTAAGCGCAGTGACGTCGCTAGGGGGGCGTGCAGGGGCTCGAGCTCCCTGAAAATTTTGAATAGCCCCCTGAAGCAAAAATTTTTTTTTTAATGGCTCCTTAATATCCCCTTGAACTAAAAATAAATTTTTTTAATTGCCACTGAATGATTTCTTCTATAATTCTATTGAGTAATATATAGATTTAATTTTATAATTTAAAAATTAATAAGTCTATCTAAATTATTCTTAAGTGAATACTATTTTAATTATTAGATTAGAAGTGGAATAATACTTTATTTAGTAATTATATAATATTAATAAGAATACAAAATTTTAGTATATAATTTCAATTATCTGTTATCACACAGTTATATAAAATGAAAAATATACAAATAGTATAATTAGTAAACGATTACGAAAAAATATCATAATAACAAAAGGACAATATTGAGGCATATATCATAAAATAATGTAAAATATAAAATAAATAGATTATATTTTCACTATGTCAGCTTTCAATCAAATTCTGTGTTAAAAATAGAATATTAATATCACTCACTAAATATTAATTTAGCATTAACAGTTGAAGCCTTATTGACTTTTATTATTTAAATTATTATATAACCCCAATTAAATAAATATTAATTGAAAATTAACATATTTAATATTGTAATAACCGAGTTCAAAATCACTAATCAACTATATTATTATATTTAAATTTAATTACCATGCCTCTTCTAAAGATTATTTTCAAGGTCAAAATCCAAATAAGTATAAGAGATTTATTTATAAAAAGTAAGTAAACATATAGTTTATGGGTTATAAAATATTAGGTTAAATACCATTTTTCAGACGTATTTACAGTAGTGTTGTTAAACGGCTAAGCCGAGTCGACCTAGCTGCGACTCGAGCCTAGTTTCTAGTCGATAAAACGACTTTGACTCGAGTCGACCAAATGAGCCGAATTGGTGGGCTCACTTAGTCGGCTCGTGTAGCCGGCTCGCTTAGTCGACTCACTTAGTCGGCTCATGTAAGTCGACTCGCTGGGTCTGCTCAATTTTTTTGTTTGTTTATAAAATCTGGTGAATTGGTAAATTTTGGGTTATTGATTAATGTGAACAAAATTATAATAAGAATATTCATGTAGTAACTAAAAATGGCTCAGGACACGAATTCGGCTTCAGATATTATATACCTATAAATTAAAATTTCAGTAAAGATGTACCCTAGATAAGTGACAATTGCCATAATCGTTGTTTTTAAAGTTTTTTGAAATTTTTTGACGCAAGTGGGTAAAAATATTGATTGTAAATATGTTATAATAAATTTTAGTGAAGATGTACCCTAGATAAGTGGCAATTGTCATAATCGTTGTTTTTAAAGTTTTTTGACGTAAATGGGCTAAAATAGGTATTGCTAACATGTTAAAATAAAACTTCAGTGAAGATGTACCATAGATAAGTGACAATTGTCATAATCGTTGTTTTTAGAGTTTTTTAATTTTTTTTGGCGTAAATGGGCTAAAATAGGTATTGCTAACATGTTTAAATAAAACTTCAGTGAAGATGTACCATAGATAAGTGACAATTGTCATAATCGTTGTTTTTAAAGTTTTTTAAATTTTTTTGACGTAAATGGGCTAAAATAAGTATTGCTAACATGTTTAAATATAGTTGCCCCAACTAACTGTAATTATATACAGAAGCTAGTGAAGATGTACCATAGATAAGTGACAATTGTCATAATCGTTGTTTTTAAAGTTTTTAAATTTTTTTTGACGTAAATGGGCTAAAATAATTATTGCTAACATGTTTAAATAAAATTCAAGTGAATATGTACCATAGATAAGTGACAATTGTCATAATCGTTGTTTTTAAAGTTTTTTTAAATTTTTTTGACGTAAGTGGGCTAAAATAAGTATTGCTAACATGTTTAAATAAAATTTTAGTGAAGATGTACCCTAGATAAATGACAATTGTCATATAGTGGTTTTTAAAGTTTTTTAAATTTTTTTGACGTAAAGAGCTAAAATAGGTATTGCTAGCATGTTAAAATAAAACTTCAGTGAAGATGTACGATAGATAAGTGACAATTGTCATAATCGTTGTTTTTAAAGTTTTTTAAATTTTTTTGACGTAAATGGGCTAAAATAAGTATTGCTAACATGTTTAAGTAAAATTTTAGTGAAGATGTACCATAGATAAATGACAATTGTCATAATCGTTGTTTTTAAAGTTTATAAATTTTTTGACGTAAATGGGCTAAAATAAGTATTGTTAACATGTTTAAATAAAACTTCAGTGAAGATGTACTTTAGATACAGGGTTATTCAAAAAAGGAAAATCGTAATTTTTTAAAATTTTTTGTCAATTTTTCTTAAACCTTTTATTTTTGTTATTCCTTCTTAATTTATTTCTAAATTTTTGCGATTTCTTTATGTTTTTTTACTGTATCTTTTCTCAATTTATTTTTAACTTTTTGCGATTTTCTTTACTTTTATTTTTCTTACTATATCTTCTCTCAATTTATTTTTCTTCTCATTTTGATAATTCTTTTGTATTTTTAAAAAAATTATAAATTTAGGTCCATTTTTTTAACAATTCTTTACGTTTTTTTTTCATTATACATATAATATTCTTTTTATGATTTTTTCATTGTAATCTTTTACATACATTTTTAACCTTTTCAATCTCGTCATTTTTAATATTTATTTTTTTGACCTTTTCTCAATTTTTTATTCTCATTTTTGATAATTATTTTTTAAAATTATATTTAATATTTTTGGCAGACAATATAATTACAATTGCTAAATTATAAATTAATCATTTGGTTTACCTTAACTGTAATACCAAACGATATTTAAATCAATAAAATATAATCATTTTTAAATTCTTATTTTTACAACGCTAGAAATTATTATTATTTAAAACAATAGGAGAGAAAGACAGACTAAATAAAATTAATTTTTTTTTATATTTCCATGGATTTTAATTATTTTTATACATTATTATAATATAAAGTGTAGGTTATTTTATAAATAAAGATTATATATATAGTAAAAAAAAATGCGTCCATATTTTTTTTTTAAATGGTATTTAATAAACAAAATTATATGTACTAGAATTTTGTAATGAACTAAACTAGCAAAAATAATTATCAAAAATGAGAAGAAAAAATTGAGAAAAAGTCAAAAAAATAAAGATTAAAATGACTAGATTAAAATGGTTAAAAATGTATGTAAAAAATTACAATGAAAAAATTATAAAAAGAATATTGTATGTATATTGGAAAAAAAACGTAAAGAATTGTGAAAAAAATGGACCTAAATTTATAAATTATTTTTAAAAATATAAAAGAATTATTAAAATAAGAAGAAAAATAAATTGAGAGAATATATAGTAAGATAAATAAAAGTAAAGAAAATGGCAAAAGGTTAGAAATAAATTGAGAAAAGATACAGTAAGAATAAAAAACGTA